ATAAATTGATCAAAATACCCCTGAAAAGTTTCAACGGTATTTTGGTCATTTTTTTCAAAAAAAAAATTTAAAATTATTTTTATTAGGTGCGCATCACTAAGATGTACACACGCTCCAAATTTTATATCATTCCGATTTATAGAAAAAAATGAAAAATGAAATACTACCGAACAATCGTGACCATGTGATGAACTTTAGATGGTGATGAGGGTGGGCGAAATCATTATTCATTTTCGCCTATAGGCGTTGGAAATACTTTTCTATATGAACATATGTGTTCATATGAGCCCCACGGCCCAGATTGAATATGAGGTGATCTGACGGTCACGACCTCATTTTGTATTTTAATTCTATTTTTTTTTTACAAATCCAAATAATTTGAAATTTTAGCCGTGCATTTTTAAAAAATCGAAGAATATAATAAAAATATTAAAAATAATAATTTACGATAAATAAATTGATCAAAATACCCTCGACCTATGGTTTAAAAAATGGATGGTGCCCTGGACGGGCACCCCAAAAACCCATCTGCACCTGTGAATGGCATTTCAGATCGAGAATCGGGTGGAATCAGCAATTTTTGTCTCAAAAAATCTTTAAAAAAATCACTATAAATATCTAAAAATAATTTTATTTTAATTTGTAAATTAATTTAGGAGTGGTGCATTATGCATTTTTATTACTTTGTAAAAATAGGTGATTATTGAGATGTTGTTTTCTATCTGGATGTCTGTATAATTAAAATAAATAAATAAAATATAAGATTTAGTTATCATTGTAATTAGTATAATTAATAATTGTACTATTATAATAAACGTGATTCAATAAACAAGGGTATGACCCTCACAAATAAATAAATCTAATATATAACAATTAGTTTGGATAAAAATATAGAATTTAAAAATATAAATTTACAATAATATTTCAACAACATTAAAAGGTAAATAAATAAAGTCATACTTGCTATGTCAAGTAACTAGTTACAAACACTTCCATATTAGAAGATTAAAAAAATTAATTTCCCACATAAATTAGTATCACATCAAA